CGACGCTGTCATCGACCGAAAGCCCATGTGGAAATGAATGCCGACATAGATCTCCCTCATTCTATCCCAGAAACAATCCGAGCTGTACACCAAATCTCCAGCCGGAAAGCACCGAGATATGACGCGATTCTGGCAGATGTCTATTAGAAGGGCAGTCCACAGTGCATTGATCAGCTTGCTCCGCTATTCCGAGAAATGTGACGCCAAGGACAAGATCCTCAGGATTTCAAGGACATGACAATCGTTCAACTCTGTAAGCGGAAAGAGAACCGACAATTCTATGATAAATACAGAGGAATCTCGCTGCTCAGCATCGCGAAAAAGGTCTTCGCTCGAACGCTCCGCAACGGTCTCAATGGATACTTCGAACAGAGACTTCGTCCGGAAAGCCTGCGTGGCTTCCGCCGTCGCTGACGAATTATCGACATGAAATGTCAGGAAGAGAGGACTCGCCTCCACACTACCTTCAACAACACGTTTCTCGATAGCCTGTGAAAAATCTTACAGAAATTCGGTTGTCCTTAGCAACTCACACACATGGTACGTCAGCTCCACGACTGAATGATGGCATGGGTAACGGGCAATAGGACCGTCGCTGGAGCATTTGAAGTAACTAACAGAGTGAAACAGGGCTGCACACACCCTCTTAACCTCTTCAGCCTCATATTTTCTGCTATGCAGATGGACGCCTACTGTGATGACCGCCCTGTGATCAGCATCGTCTACAGGACCGATGGCCATCTTTCGACAGCTGGTCTCAACGCGTCTCTCCACGACCACTGTTTACGATCTGCTCTTCGCCGATGACTGCGCACTCAACACCGTGTCAAAAGTTGTTATGAAGCGGAGAATGAACATCCTTGCCGCCGAGTGTACCAATTTCGGACTGACCATCAACACTGGCACAACGGTGGTCATGCACTAACCACCACTTAAAGCTGCATAAAATGTTTCTCGCATCCATGTTAACAGGACCGCACTAAAGCCTTGGGCTATTGGGTCCACTTAGGCAGCACACCCTCACGCTGAATCAGAATCAACCACGAAATGACCCGTCGGATCTTTAAAGCAAGCCAAGCCTTCGACCAGCCGAAGAATTCCGCATAGAATGGTCACGGCCGTCACCTGAATACCAGTCTGAATATACGTTAATTTTTATCTTGACGACACTGATGTATGGTGCGGAGACCTGGATGGTCTACGAGAAACACGCGCGTAAACTCAACCACCCCCACCTCAGTTGTCTCCACCGAATGCTAAAGCTGAGGTGGCAGGACAGGCCCCCGGACACGGAATTTTTTGAACAGACTGGAATTCTCCGTCTCTACAATGACGCCTTGAATAATTCCTTGAAGGAAATACAGACCAAGCCGAAGATCTGGGAAAAACTCGCACTAGAATGACTAGACCGTAGAACAGCAGTGAGGAGTGGAGCAGCCATCTATGAAGTCAGTCGGATCGCCGCTGCCAAATTCAAAATGGAGGCTCGCAAGTTGAAGGCGCCCCCGACACGCAACAGTAACTCCCCACCACTCATAATATACCCGCGCTGTCAACGAATATTCCGCGCATGGATCCGTCTCGTTGGACATTTCCAGACTCCATGCACCAGTCTGACGACCCTAACCGCTGTCTATTCTACCAGCTCTCCTCCAACCCTCACTGCAGCCACTACGACGACCACCCTTACCGCCAATGCTCAACATCTCCGTGCCCAGCCGCCTTTAGCCAACGCCACGTCTATCATCCCTGTTGCATCATCCGCGGCGGCGACGACCACCACAGCTCCTATACTCACCACCGAGCAAAACACTCCCAACGGTTCGCCGGCCATCGCAACCCTCTTTTCCTTTCCCAGCTCCAGCGCAGTGGAATCGGTCCTAACCTGTCCCTTATTGCGATCGCACACACCTCACACAATGGCATGGTCGGTTACTTGCGAATCTATCGCACTGCGACCGGCGCACCAGCGCCAAGAGATCGTGCATACACTTACCATATCTGCCTTCACTGTCCACGCTGCCCAAGCATATTCATACGCCACATGGGAAAATTCGGTCATATTCGTATCCACAACAGCAGAATACACGCAGTATCGACAAACAGCGTATCTCCCACATCCACCACCGCTTCTATCTCCAACTAAACCAAGCCCTCATCACTCAGTGCGCCCACCACTAGCAGCACCACAAGGAAAACCGACCCTACATCCCCAGCCCATGGTCACTACAAGTTTACACCATACATCGGCCTGGTCGACCACTTGAGAATCCATCGCACAGAGGCTGGCGAACCAGTGCCTGGAGCATCGACATACACCAGACACCATCATCTCAGTCGCTTCCACTGCCTCTGCACATTCAGCCATCCTATGGGCCTTTTAGGCCACACGCGTAGGCATGACTTTCGGTAGAACACCGTCGGCAATACCATGCCAGCACATCTCGCCTCACCAGAACCTACAAGAAGCATGACCACACCCAAAATCACGCAATGCAATTGGTACAATTGGCAGCGTAATTGGCTCATATGACAAAACTTGGAAGTGTCTCACAGCTACACCTTTATTTGGCTCCTCTGCTGCATGTGTGATACGAGCCCAAGATTATTACACTGCTCTAAGTGTCGTGGCCTGGAAGACTTTCATCTAACCGGATAACTCGGATCTCGCACTCAGCCCAGTGTTCGTCCGTGTGTGGGGGCGAGGCTGGCGGACTTAGAGTTTGGCTGCAATGATTCCTTCTCAATGGGGTTTTTTATAGCACTCCGAATCTGTGGGATACGCGCCGTCCCCTCCTCTTATCTTGCTGCATATAATCCAGGTTATTGTACGTTGTGGACCAGGAGATGTGGTTGTACGCCTAGGCGCGGGTCTGCGTCGCGCCAGCCACTTGTGTCCTCATTCGCCTCCGGTCCTCTTGACGTCGGGCCTAGGTGTGGGGGAGGAAAAAATGCGATTGATTCCGCGCAAGTCTACCATCTCTTTAAGCTAACCTACGCGCAAGTCGGCGACCTGTTCTCACCCTGCTGCGAAGCACTCTGTGGATATCGTCGGCCACGGTGGTAAATCTGTCGTATGTAATATGCTTTAATCAATAAACTTAGCCCGCCAACCTAACTGATTTCAAATTTATGTTACAAATTATTGTTTAAGACGTCTTTATTATTTAGCAATTTGCGTGTGGGTAACAATTGGGAGATGGCACCCAAAAAATCCGCCCAACCAGAGCAGCCTGTCTTACGGGACATGTGGTAATAGGGGTTTTACGGGTGGGGCCTTCGACTGCGTGGATAAATATAAATAATACTAAGAAGTTTTTTCAGAAATGGCAGCAAAAATGT